TCGAACTGCGGTTGACTACGTGGGAGTCCAGCGACATAGCCATTACGCTAACTGCTAGTCCCTACAAATTTATTATCTTAAAATAAGTAAAAATAAAATAAAGTACTAAATTAAACAGTTGATTCCAAAATGTAATGAAAAGTACTAATGCTATGACTTCAATTTAATTCATTATTTTATCTTATTGTACTTATAAATTAAGGGTTTTTTGTTTATGGTTTTTTATTTTTTTTATTTTTATTTTTTTTCTGGAGCCAGAAGGAAAGTGAGAAATCACCCCCCTAGGAGGGATGGCCACATCACAAGCCCTCCTCCAGTCTCCTGGGATTTGGGGCACAAATGCACATGTGTCTGGCATGACTTTTTTTTTTTTTTTTTTTGTCTTATGGATTTTAAACATATACACTTGCCAGAGAGAGAGAGAGAGACAGAGGGAAAGTGAGAAACCACCTCCCAAGAGGAATGACCATAACCGCAATCCTGTCTCCATTTTCTTCTTGGGATTTTGGGCACGCACACACAGATGGCTGTCATGATTTTCAAGGCAGGGAGTTGAACTGCTGTTGGCAGTGTGAGAGTCCCGTGCCTTAAACACCACACCACCTGCTGGCCCACCTTATTATTGGGTTGTTAGAAAAGTCATGACACTAGGAAAATAAGTCATGACTTTTCCAGCAATTCAATATTATTATTTTCTTAATAATTTTATTTTATTCATCACTATTATTTTAATTGGAACCAACAGAGACACACACAGAGGAAGAGAGAGAGAAAGTGAGAAGCTGCCAGGTCCAGGACTTGAACCATAGTCAGCCATGTGGGAGTCCAACAACTTAACTACCACACTACCTGCCTGCCCCTCCAATTTTTTTTTTTTAAGTGTATTCATTTCTCCATGAGAGAGATAGGCAATGTAATCCTAGGAACTTTTTTTTTTTTTTTTTGAAAGGTTTTTGCTGTAGAGAGACAGAAAGCGAATAATCACCCGCCATGGGGGATGGCCATGTTGTAATCCCTACTCCTCCATTCTCCTCTCAGGATCTTGGGCATGCACACACACGCACCTGGAAGTGAGTTTAAGCCACTGGATCTGGGACCCGAACCGCAGTCAACTACATGGGAGTCCAGCAACGTAGCCATTATACTCTCTGCTGGTCTCCAATCCTAGGAACTTTTATAGGTCAATTTGCGTTGTCACCTGTGACTCTCTGAGCCTTCATTATTTCTATATATAATCCTAAATCTTCCTAGGATTACAGGTGCTTGTCCACTGAGATAGGAGTTTTCAAGCCAGAATCAGAATCCATTAATGGAGTACACAATCATTCATGACCAGCATTTAAAAAAAAGGAGGGGGGGATTAAAAAGAATAGGAAGGGGACCAGCTTGTGGTGGAGTGGTTCATGTGCTGGACTCTCACATAGTCAGCCACAGTTCAAGTCCTGGACTTGGCAGCTTGAAACTCACACTGTGCACGTGTGTGCATGTGTCCAAATCCCAAGAGGAGAATGGAGGAGAAGGGATTG